TTACCACAAATCTAATATACCCCTTAACTCTTTTTTGAGTACGGGTATAAAAAAATACCAGTTTTAAAATATTCTTTAAAAAAAAGTTCTGCCATAGAAAAAAAAAATATCATCATACCATTTGTAAGCCCCAAATCTTTAAGAAAAAGTTCGTTTTGTTCCTTGAGGAAAAATCGTGTTGACTAGTGTTATTAACTAATTAATTCATAAAGAGAAATTTATAAATGTTTTGAAAGAGCAGAGATAAAAATGAAAAAATAACGAAATATGGGTGGTCACATAAATATCACAATTTGAAAATGTTGCCAATAATTCATAGAAAATAAGCTCAAAAGCTATAATTGTTACACAAATTTAATATTTAGTTGAATATCCACGATTTTCAATAACGGCGTTACATCTACGTCCCATACTTTCCACAAGCTTCTGACATCTCTCCTTCGGAATGGAGTTCCAAGCTTCTTTGACACCTGGCCACAAATCGTCAAGATTGGCAAAAATTTTTCTGGATATCATGACCTTAACATCATTCCATTGATTTTCTATTGGATTTAGGTCAGGGCTTTGAGCCGGCCACTCCAGAACTTTAATGGATTCGTCCTTCAACCACTTTTCAACGACGCAAGATGTGTGCTTTGGGTCGTTATCGTGTTGAAATATCCATTTCACAGGCATATTCTCCAATGTAAATGGTTGCATTTGATTTTTGAGAATATCAGCATACATGAAACGGTCCATTGATTCGGTAGAGCGGGCCCACACCAAGCCAGGAAAATGCACCCTAACACATAATGCATCCGCCACCGTGCTTCACGGTCTTCATTGTGTACCTGGGGTTAAGAGCTTGGCATTCTGGACGACGAACAAATGTTTTTCATCGGGTCCTACTTTATTTATCTTAGTTTCATCGCTCCATAGCACATTTTTCCAATAATTCAGACTCTGATCCCAGAGGGTCCGTGCGAAACTCAATCTTTGTTTGATGTTTCGTTTTGACAGGAGTGGCTTCTTCCTGCTGATGCGTCCAAAGAGCGATGCTTCATTCAGTCTTCTAACCACTAGTCTCCTTGACATATCCGTACCACATTCATCATTAATTTCCTTCATAATCTCTCGAGGAAATAAAAGGGTCCGCTTTGCTCTTCCGCACTATGAGCCTATCCGTCATAGAATCCGTTTTTCTTGGCTTTTTCTTACGATTTTTTGTATCATTCAAATAAGTTGGGCTTGACTTCACTAATTTAAGTGCGTTGTACACCATCTTTCTGGAGCATTTAATTATTTCGGCTATTTCAGACGGTTTTTTTCCAGATTCACTTAGTGTGAATATAATCTTCCTTTTTCAACTGAGCAATTCCTCCCACGACCCATTTTAGCACGTTTTCGATAAATTATATCAATTCGTTACCAAAATATTTAAAATGAAAGAAAGAATTCTGCGAAAACAACTTTTTACTCGAAAGTAGCTGCCGCTTCATCAAAATGTGCTATTTCTGTTACCATGCAAAAAAGGAGCACGCGAACGAAAATTAAGCATAAAGCAAAAGAGAAAAATGATAACGATAAATTTTTTGCCTGTATACCATGTGAAAGAGTGCACTAATCGTTTGTGATCAAAATTTTTAAAATCGGATGTAAAATATTGTCGAAATGATCGATCGTTATATTTGTTTTGGTTTGTGCTATTTATATGACCACTGCTGTATATCACATTTTGTGTTGTGACAGGCAACATTTGATCAGCTGGCAAGTGATCCCGTATTTGGTCTAGTCTAGTTGCTCTCTTAATTGCTAACTTTGGGCTTATTGTCCGATGGTGAATACCGATTAATACATCAGATATGTCGGACTGCATACGTTGTCAGCAGAGTTAGTTGTGTTGCGAGCCCTAGGTATGACTGAGTTAGATGATCGCCGTGATATGTTCCTCTTTCTCGGCTGATGGTTGCCACTTGTTGTTCCAATACTTTTAGGCGGTTGCCATGGCTGACTTATCCTTCCTGATTACGTTCATTGTGGAGTCAACAATTGACGTTCGATTTCGTAGTAGATGTAGCAGAAAGTCTTTGTTGGTTTGTACCTTCGATTAGTTCGGCCATTTTCTCAGCGTATGTAGTCAAGTACACCGAACAGCTGGGGTGCCACATTTCCTACTATACCAGCGGTGATCTGCGATGTCGAGAGGCTTTCATTAGCATATTTCCTGTTTGTAGTTTTTGTACAAATGTTGTAATATGGAGTTGCACGCTGGAACATTTTTTAGTTCCGGCTGACATGACTTGCAAATCCTTCCAATATGGATCCAAGTCGTAGTATATAATCATGGTCCATTCGGAAGTGTTCATTCTTGAGGTTCCAGGTTTCTCATAGAATATTACAGGCTTGTTTGCAAATTGCGTCACATTTATTGATTGTCAAAATGCTTATGGCAGCATTAATCCACTAACAATATGGATGTTAATGTAGGTAAGAATCATGTCTTTAATAACATTTTGGAGCGTTTTGTTGCTACCTCCTCTGAGAATAATGTCAATTTATTCAAATAGGAAAGCATCAGCAAAGCAACACCATACATTTTTTGAATGAGGTTTACTTTTCTAAATAACGTAACGTTTTTTTGTAAGTGAAAGGATATTGGTCATTGTTATTTAAATACACAATCGCTTGCGAAGACTTGCGAAATGTTGCTTTGATTACGAAGTGCCTAGCAAATTCAAATTCAAATTCCATCATATTTTCCCGAAATTTTGACTTTATAAACTCAGGAAAAGTCGAAAAAAAAATATTTCTTGGCATGCATTTTTAGGTTTAAATGGACGCATATTGATTTGGCGTCGTTTAAGTTATTGTCCATAAAAATCTATGGAGAGGCGGTGAAGCTAAAATTCGTTAACCAAACATAAAAAAAAACTTTAAAAAAAAAAAAAAACAAAAAAAACCTACTTTTTGGAGGGTTACGGGCCCAACTGCCGATAAGGAACAAGCAAACGAAAAGGGGTTGAATATTTGGTACCTGAACGTGTTCCTTTGGCATTAAATGTTGTTGACAGTTACTTTTTTTCGTTGTGTTTTTCATTTTTTATTTGGTGTTATGTTGCTACAACTTTTTAAACTTATGTGATAGATTTGGTTTTCTACTGCTTGTTACTGTTCTTAAAATAATTTAAGTTTTTTGGCCGTCTTCTTTTGTCGTTCGAATCAGATTTCCTTATGAGAGTCCACACATAGTCGCCCAACATTTTCTCATTCCAAACACCTTGATACCGTCGTTCCATATCTTTTAATTGTTGGTGAAATCTTTCTCCGTGTTCGTCACGTCCCCTAGTTTTGTCGGAAAAAGTCTAAGTGGGAGTGCAGGATATGTATTTGTAGTGCAATGTTGGCTCCAATTTTTTCATAATTCTCAATTAGGTCTTGAACGATATTAACGTAATCATCACTCTTGCTGTTACCAAGAAAAATGTTTGTGACCAGTCGGAGTGAGTTCCAGGCTGCTTTTTCATTCTTTGATAAAATATTTTCAAATCCATAATCTTTTAGTAGTTTTCGAATTTGGGGGCCATCAAATACGCCTTCTTTAACTTTTGCCAGCGACAGACATGGAAAAACAGTTTTTAGGTAACTCATCGACTCACCTTCCTTATCCAGTGCGTTAACCAAATTTTTCATTAGTCCCGTCTTCCGTGTTCAATTTTCAAGAGAGCTGCATTTTGTATGTTGTAATTCTCCAATTTATTTTCCTCCCGTTTTAGCCAGAGTTTTCTTGCGTAATGCTCAGTTCTAGATCTACTATCCCATAGGCACAGGAAGCAGCAGAATTTGTGTAACCACCTTGCAATCCCGTTAACATGGCTACGACTTTTAAGTCACACGTGACCTTCCAAGGGTGTTCTTTACGATTTATATTTTCAAAAAATTTAGCCATTGTTTGATATGTTTCCTTCAAATTACGGCTTTTGGTTTCCATTGTGTAACAAAACAGCCTTTAAACTTTCCATACTGATGTCAACCCCCAGAAAATCGTTCAATTCTTCTTGTGAAAGAGTCTTGCAGTATTTATATTCTCCTGATTGGTCATTACTTAAATCCGTTGTTCAATGCGACGAAGACGACATCTCTTTTTTGCGTTTTAGTGGCGATATTTCTTCTAAAGGAGGAGCAGGAAGCGTAAAGCCTTGAACAGGTTGTTTCGGGTAGCCCCATTTCATGGATCTCCCGATTCCAGTTATTTTGAATGAAGAAAAGAAACATTCAGAGCCGTGAATCTCTGGTTTTCTCCACAGCATTGGAGCAAAAGTACCTAGAACTCGGTAAAACCAAAATTTCAGGTCCTTTTTCAATCCCATTTTGGCAGTTGGACCAGCAACGTACCGTACGGTATTTTTCAGGTAAAATGAGTTTTGAGTAGTTTTGGTTAAACGGCTACAACTTGGCCGTTTATCCATCGATTCTTTCAAACAATACCTTAAACCTTATTAATGCGTCTATCTAAAACCAAACTTTTCCTCGGTTTTTAATGTCAAAATTTCGGAAAAAATACCGCGAAAAAACCGCAGTGTCCAGGTCGGATTTATAGCTGAATTCGTCAGCTTTTTAGAACAGCAAAGTTCTATGCAACCAGATATAAGATACTTCAGTTATGTAAAAAATAGAAGGATAGAAATAGAAAAAAAAAAATTAAAAAAACCAAATTTCTCAAATTAAAAACAAAAAAAAAAACAAAAAACTATACAATACTATACTAAACAAATTTTGAAATCCCGAAATCTATTCGAAAAAGTCATTTTGGTCCACAGCGGGAAGAAAAAGTTAAATTTTGTCGAGTAGTGTTATTTGAAAAAAAAGAAGCGCTACCTCTGTAAAAATTTCACAATAGCTAATAAAAAGCTCACTAGCTTAACAGAAACAGCCTAAACACCTTTCGCATCGCAATAAAAACTTATATTTAGATGAACGCTATAATTCAGCATTATAGATATGCATACAAATTTGATAATTACCTCAATATTATATTATGCATATTGGTAGCGACAGCAGCATTATCCGTTTCCATCCATAATTCACCACAGCCCAAAACACTCTGACGGCCAAGTTCCATATAGAAAATGCATTGAGGAGATGCATGTCCGCATCTAGAAAAAAAAAAATTTAATGTTATAAAAATAAATAAAGAACGAGATACAGTCGACTGTTCTTAATGTGAGTTGCAATTTTCAGTTAATAGTATTTTTCCGCCTCTCGTATATAAGCACACGATAATAATAATGGGTATACACCTCTACGTAAACTTTACTTTTTACTTCAAAGTCAATATCAGGCTGAACAAAACAATATGTACACTTCAAGTACTGTTATAATTCCTGTTGGCATACTTTAAATAAGCGTCTGGGTCTGGCATGTTTTAATAGTTGTCACAATTTTTGGACGCCTTTTTTTGGCTATTTTGAAATTTAAAGATATGTTTTCGATTGGATTTAAGTCGGGAGATTGTCTAGGCCAATATAAAACTTAAATTTTTTGGTCCTCAAAAAAGTTGGTTATGTCTTGATGTGTGCTTTGGGTCGTTATATTACTGAAATACCAAATATTTTCTTCAGCATAATGTAGCAAAGCACTCTCCAATATGGACTTGTATTCCTCAGCATTCATTCTCTTTGTTGTCTGAAAATGTGGACCTACGCCGTACTAGGAGAAGCAGCCCCATATCATTATATTGCCACCTCCATGTTTGACGGTTTTTTTTTTGGTGAAACGACGATCAATTTCCTTTCCTTTTCACAATCATTACCAAAATCCTACCCAGGATTTTTTTTTTTTTAAGAAATTCTTTTTATTTTTCTTAAGCAAATTTTGTTTTCACGCACAAGAACGCTTTGCTTTGCTATCCACAAACCAGAAAAGCCCGTTAAACTTGCATTTTGAAATTGACCAGCAAAACAAATTTTTATTATGTTGACTTCATTGCCGACGCACTGCTCGATATTATTTTTATATGCACTGTGCATAGTAAAAAATCTCGGGCAGCGCAGTCGGAACTCGTACAGCGTACGAGCTTCGTGTAGAACGGCTTGGCTGCCGCAGCAGCAGAGAAATAAGTGACGTATTTGCCTTCGTTTCTGTTGTCTTCGTTTTCTTTTTATTTTTTTAATGCAAATATATGCTGCTATTTGTATACCCGTACTCGAAAAGTTAAGGGGTATATTAGATTTGTGGTAAAGTGAATGTGTGTAACGCAGAAACGCAGGAAACGTTTCCGACCCCATAAAATATATATATTCTTGATCAGCATCAATAGCCGAGTCGATGATTATATTGACTGAGTACGGGTATACAATTTTTCTTCACAATAAAATGTTTTGATTTAAATAAAAGTACTTACCGACGTATTGTTGTCAAAAGAATCTCAATACTAGAGATTCGATTATCGCCATTTGTTGTTTTTTCCGGACCTATGCAAACGAGTGTTAGGGATTTTGCGGTTAGGCAGCAGTGATAGGTTCCAGTAATTCCTACTTTTTCTGACATTCCTTTTTTTTGAATGAAAACTTGCCAGACATGGTCTGTAAGAAAAAAAATATCCCTATTAACATTTTTGTCTTTTCGAAATAATAAAGAATAAATAAGCTCTTTGTGACTTTTTGAGTAGATGCATACGTGACTGCCCAATCCTAGGTATGTTTATAAGTATGTACTAGGGGGCAATATGATAAAATATGATATGATGATTTTTTTACTTTTTTTTTATTATGTAGGTTTATTGTAACAATTATCACAGACAATAAAGTACAATTAGTTAACGTACTGTTACTGTTGATTAGCAACTTTTGTTAAGGGTCAAGTAAAATTTCTATTTACAATTTACTATTTTAAATTAAATGCGGGACCAACGGACGAAAACGGAGTTTGTGCAACAATAATTTATATGTTCCTGGTGGCCAAGTCGCTGCGATACCATAGACATGGATGCCATACCTCCATGTACCTCCATGCAGGCGTCAGGATTACCTTATATATGCGGATCTTGTTGGCCAGGTTGAGCTTGTTGTTAGGCTTAAGAAGCCAGTAGAGTTTTCTAGCTTGCTTTCCAAGGCGTTTCTGACCATCCTTGTGTGGCTGGTAAAGGTCAGGCGGGTGTCCAGCGTGATTCCCAGGTACTTAATGTCCTTCCGCTGCTCCAACAGCTCGCCATGAAGAAATACCCCAGGGCACGTTCCTTTCCTAAGCGTGTGTGTCCCTACAACACACTTCTCAGGGTTCACACTGATATTCCACCTACATGCCCAGTTCTCAAACCGAGGGGTTGCTCGCGCACTGAACGCGGCAGAGTGTGCGAGCGAGATGGAAAATGAGTTGTGTTGTCGTTGTCTGGAGGGGGCAGGGGAAGCAACTGAAAATTAATTTCGTCATTCTGGCTATAATTATGATCCGATCCAATTAAGATTCGGAGATCTGGTAGATATGGGCATTCTCTACGATACTGCGTTTTTAGTTTCATCGTATCTTTAAAACTGTGCCTGCCACAGATTTTCGTCCTTTGTGTGGGCGGAAGGGGGCAAGGCGAAATTTTGAAATACACTTGTAGCAGTGTGATATCACATGAGTCTGGAAACCAAATTTGGTTTCTCTAGCTCTTATAGTCTCTGAGATCCAGGCGCTCATCAAGACGGACGGACGGACAGACGGACAGACGGACATGGCTATATAGACTCGGCTATTGATGCTGATCAAGAATATATATACTTTATGGGGTCGGAAACGTTTCCTTCTCTGCGTTGCACACATCCACTTTTACCACAAATCTAATATACCCCTTAACTCTTTTTTGAGTACGGGTATAAAAAATCATAAGCTGAAAAATGTATATACTGACAGAGTAAGGGTATAAGTAGAGTCGCGTCTCCATAAGCGACTCACACGTTCCTTCTCGTTATTTATTTAATTAAGATAATTTAAAAAAAAATTTTTGCTGAATGAGTTGGATAATTGGTGTCGCGTCACGACGTGACCTTTATATTTTTGTTAAATTTTGAAGTCTAGTGTAATTTAGTTTAGGGCGAAGCGGGAGCGCAAGAAAGCTCTCTCTCGCTCTTGGCGAATTCGCCGCGCTTCGCCGCCCTAGATAAGTAAGGCTTAAGAATATGTTATAACGTAAAAGAAAAGAAGACGAAGAATAGTATTTAATTCGAGCGCACACGAGTGGTGATATATATAAAACACATATATTGAGAAGTTTAAGTGCATATAATATACACCTGCCCGCGTCGCGTGGGTGTGCAGCAACAACCCCCAAATATAACACCTAAAACTACCGCGCCGGTCGGCTAACAAGCATACAACAACAAAAATACCTAGCGATCTCAACCACCGAGGGATATCCATACCTAAAGAAGTTTGCCACTTGCCAAGGAAAGTGGAATTTACCAGGATCCCATCTTATATACATAGAGGTATTTGTGCAAAGAATTGAAAGCTCGAGTAAAGACAAAATCATTAAAACCTCGCAATTACTGTCTTGTGCAAAAATAAGTGCACCTCGCTTTCAATTCTTGGCACATCCGTATGACATAGTAGATCTAGATTGCATATATTTAGTAGACTATTACATATATCACATATTTACATACATCAAACCATCTTGGACGCAGAACATATATACATATAATTTATAACTGCAATCACTGTCGCCCCTTCCCCCCTTTCTCATTTTCGTTGCGGAAATATATAGTTGGGTCATTGGCCAAGCGCACACATACCAACATGCAGTATGTCAACTAATTGTTTGCAAAATGAAATAAGTCAGACAATTTCAACTTTAGCATTAAAAATATAAATACTGGCATTTTTTGGAAAAAATTTGTTAATTAATTATTATATAGATATGTATTGGCTATAGGTATGACAAAAAAAAATTACGAAATTCCAAGCAAAACGTAAAAGAAATGAAGAAAACCAAAAAACGGCATTTTTGACGCTGTCAATAAATTCTTTGCAAAATGCAAACACTGCTTGAAAGAATACCTCAGAAAAACTAACGGGTCAGAAAATTCGAAAACGACGGATTGTGTGCTCTTTTCTAGACTTCCTTGGTCTCATTCCAGCTAAAAGTTGCTTCGGTTCAAGTCCCGTTTTTTTTATTGATGATTTTTGCAATGCTTGACAAACGCACTGAGGATAATTTGATTTAATTAGTTTATTATAATTTTACAAATAAAAAAATAGCTGAAACTTTTAAAATTAGACTTAGAACAATTTATAATATAAATAACCATCCGGACAATGAGAAAAAGCTGGAATTACAGAGCTCTGAAGGCTGACCACCAAATCTTTCTCGGCGGGACAGTGCAGAAGTTTAAAAAAAAATTGAAATTAAACCGTAAAAAAGCCTCAGAGAATTGACGAATGACATTAAAATACTTTGCAATAAGACCATATGCCATGAGAAAGAAAAAAAAGTACTGAATCGACACAAGTACTCATCATATGTTGCAAGGAAGAAGCCATTGCTATCCTCTGTTAACATTGAAAGCGCTTGAATTTCGCTATATTTAATTCTAGAAATTCGCCGGAGTATTGGAACGATGTCATTTTTTGTGACGAGACAAAGATATCGATGTATTATAATGAAGGACCAGGAAAAGTTTGGCGGAAGCCAAACACAGCACTCCAGGCCAAGAACATTGTGCCAACCGTCAAATTTGGCAAGCTCTCAGGGTTGGTGTGGGGCTTTAGATGATAATCTAAAGGCGTTGGAGAGCTGCGCATTTTCAATGATATAATGATCAAAAAGTTCTACTTGGACATTTTAAAAAATGAATTGACCAAAAGTGCGCAAAAGTTTGGCTTTGTTGATCCAGGAAACAGCAGCAAACTCAAATACAAGCTCTACCAAAACAATGATCCGAAGCCAAAATCGCTGCTGAGTCGCACCTGGGTGCTTCATAATTGCAGTAAAGTTATTGACACGCCCGCCCAGAGTCCAGATCTCAATCCTATGAAAAATTTGTGGGCATTGCTCAAGAAAAGGATGGCCAAACGTCGCCCCAAGTTCAAAAATTGATTTGATAAAGTGTATAAATGAGGAGTGGGGAAAAATATCTGAATATTACGATATAGAGGCACTTATATCGTCGATGTCGCGTCGCCTCAGGGCAGTTATGGATGCTAATGTTATGCATACAAAATATTAGCCAATTATATCTTGTTTTTACAAAGATATATAATTTTTGAGTATTATTGTTTGCATTTTGCAAAGAATTTATTGACAGCGTCAAAAATGCCGTTATTTGGTTTCCTTCATTTCTTTTACGATTTGCTTGGAATTTCGTAATTTTTTTTTGTCCTACCTATAGCTTATACATATATATAATATAATTAATAAACCCACAATTTTCCCAAATAATGTCTGTATTTTTATTTTTAATGCTAAAGTTGAAATTGTCTGACTTATTTCATTTTGCAAACAATTAGTTGACATACTGTAGAAGCTGCAGCGGTGAATTTTCGTTCTCGCTTTTGCTCGTCACCGTTGCTGACCGTCGTTGTTGTTGGTGTGTTCTTTTCGTTTGGCGCGTTTGACTCAAACGGTTTTCCCTTTCGCTTGTCACCGTTACTGTTTGTTGTTGTTCTTGTGTGTTTTGTGTTTGTGGCACGCCTGCGCCAACAGATCGCCAAGTGCCTCGATACCCTTTAATCCTCGGGTATATCGGTTTTTTGCCGCATTTGGCATCGACACCCTAGGTCCGTATTAAACCGATCGCCAAGTTGTGCGATACCCTCTAGTCGCCGGGTATATTGTTTTCGACCTAATTTGGGTACACCTTCCTGTTTCAACAATTTGCGCCGCAGCAAATAATATTATCGTGAGAAAAGCCTTGATTAGTGATTCACTTAAGCATCGAGAGTCAAGATGAATCCAAAATCAGATCATAAGCCTATTCGTGAAAAGCTGAAAAAGAAGCTAGCGGACCGGCTGGAAGCTGGGAAGATTCCGTTGCAGTTGAAAGAGCTCGAGTGCAGACTCGACGTACTGAAAGCAACTATGGCCAAGGCAACCCAAGTTCAAGAATCAATAGAGGAAATAGATAGTGACGATGAGTTTGGAACCGAGTTGGAAGAACTCTCGATTGTAACCAAGGCAAAGATAATGTCGCTTATCGACGCCTTGAAGACAGCCAGCGATACAATGCCTTCAGTATCAGCTGAAGTCGTGCTCGGGTTCCGAAGTTAGCTCTGCCAAAGTTCAGTGGCAAATATTCGGAATTCAAAAGCTTCATTAGTTTATTTGAGACTCTTGTTCACAATGACGAAAGCATTCCACTTAACGAAAAGTTTAAACATTTGCTTTCATGCCTCTCTGGTGAAGCGTTGGGAACGGTAAGGGCGTTCCAAGTAACCGAGAGTAATTATGAGAAAGCCATGGCCAGCTTAAAACGGGTCTATGATGACGAATGTCTGATCTTTATGAACCATATTCCTGCCCTATTTAGTATTCCGAAAATGACCCAGTAATCAGCATTGTCCTTAAGGAACCTAATCGATACCACTTCATCGATATATTGTT